AAAAATTAATAAAGAAGTAAGATATATTCTGGAGCTAGAAAAAGCCAAGAAATAATTTTTAGAAGGATACGAAATGGTGAAAGAAAAAGGAAAAATGGAAGTCTTCAGCCGATCTAAAATTAGTCAAGGTACTCTGAATAAATACGCATCCACGAGGAAAAAGATAGAAAGATGATAAGAGCAATTGATGAAAAAGACAAACAAATGATAAGGATAGAAACCATCAAAGAAAGATTGCATTAAGACCATCTATACGCAGACATCAGGAAAGATAGGTATAGTAAAAAGCAATAGAGGAATAGAGAACATATGGTACAAGCTGATGATTTAAAAATAAAACAATATATGTATCTAGAAAGAATATTTCCAACAACTTCTCAATCAAAAAAAGCTTACGAACGAAAAAACTTCCAGTTCGAAAGACATGATATTCTGAAAGTGGAAATAGCATTCGAAATTCTTAAAAGAAGAAAGATCCTTGAGGTGAACAACCTACCTACCATCTCTGCTGTTTGAAGAAGGAGGACAACACCCAAGAGCCAACTACTACAGAAAATATGTGAAAATGAAAAGAAAGCAGAGGCTTGAAACTAGGGCTTAATCAGTGTAGTCCTAAAGAAGAGCTTTATATATGATTGTGATCAATATAGAGCTACATCACTTCTTCTGGTTGCCTGTAAATTAATGACCAATGTTCTGTTGAATCGAATATATTGGTATTATGAAAATGTAACATGCTACCACCCAGCAGGGTTTGGTGATTGACTTCGATCTCACCGATTTCCTGATACGTGCACAAATAATTCTAAATACAGAGTTACGATAAAAAGAGAAGTACCTGAAACGTTAAGAAGTTCGAAAAGGTTTGAGGCAAGGAAATGGTAGTTTCTCTGATATTCTTCAAATTATTGCTAAGAATATATGTATCACTTGAAAACGAGATGGGATCCGTCGAAATAGATCAAAAAGTCTTAGGATATGCTGACAAATCAGCAACAAGAAAACGGTATGATATTTGATAAGGTTCTTGTAAGAGGAACAAAGCAAATTGATCTACAAGTAAAAATTAAAAACTGACCCGAAAAATTGGATTTGTGTCCAAGGAATATCGACCCTCGGAATAACCAGATACTGCTTTCCAATAATTGAGCAACTGATGATGACTGATGTATATCAAGCGCAAACAAAGCTTTCTCCTCGCTTTCAAGGATACAGTAATCCCGAAAAATTACTACGAATCTCAAACTCATGATTGTAACTACCATGGGGCGTGGTGGTTAAGATGGAAAGGACATGAAGTTCGTAGGAATGCCCAGAAAGCCACTCCATTAAAAGTTGAAAACAAACTAGATAGATAGATTCAGCATGCATGTAACCGGAAAGCAGTAGCGCGAGGCGACAAAGATCAACAATTCAAAAATAAAAAAAAAATGAATATCTAAAATTAATAATAGTTTAATATCATGAAGGTTGTAAAAACTAACTGAATAAACAAAAATAAATATTCCAAAAGAATTTTAATATAAATCTGATTATATTAAATCACGTTAATCTCAGAGTTTGTTTAGGAAAAAATATACTAGACACTTTGTATATATGTATATATATTTTTTTGTAACGATATTGAGATAGATGTGTTGATAAAAGAGAAGGAAATTGAAAGAGCTATCGAAAAAACGAAAACAGGAGAAGCTCCAAGATGGGATAATATAATTGGAAAATTCATAAAGTATGGAGGGATGGAATTAGTGAGACCTCTCGGAATACTTTTTCAAAAAGCCTAGGACGTTAAGAGAATTCCTACAGATTGGAAATATAATTTCATCATTCCTATATATATATATATATATATATATATATATATATATAAAAAAAAGGCTGCCAGACAAAATGCTCACACTATAGATAGACTTATATACATGTCTCCAGTGGTGTACAAATTACATATCCTTGAAGGTAGATTGAAACCTCTAGTGGAGACGCACATAGTAGAGGAGCAAGCTGATTTCCTACCACGGCGACAAACTCAGGGCCAAATATTCTTCATCATAAATGTACTTCAGAAACCCTGGGATCGGGATAAAAATATGTACTTCGCTTTCTTTGAGCTCCGGGTAGCATTCGACTCGTTCCCGAGTCGGTACTAAGGTAGGAGTAGGTACTAAGATAGGAGTTACTAAGAGTTTAAAATGTTCAAAGGAGTCTGGAAGAAGATATTAATAAAACACACCACGACCCAAAACGAGTTGTTAGATTAAATGGCAAGCAGTCTGTTTATTTAGCTAGGAATTAACATAGCTAGGAGAGTCAAATAAGATGAAAGTCATAGCCTCTTGCTATTCATAATATTTATGGACGATATAGATAAATATGTTTCCCGTGGTGATCCAGTCTGTTTTCTATTCGGATGATATTGTTCGCATAACAAATTCTGCAGAAAAGTAACATCTGACAGTGACGGAATGGTACCAAGAGGTCTGCAGAAAAAGAATGCTGATCAATACTAGCAAAAATAAGATCCTTCAGGTGGGAAGACCTCATATAAAACGGAAAAGTAAATTCAGAAATCCTACACAGAATAAGTAAGGAAAATTCAATCTACTACCAAATATGTTATTGGGAAGCAAGAGGTGGAAGAAACGTAAAACTACACATCTTTAATTCATTTTACCTACCTGTACTCCTTTGTAGATGTGAAATCTGGATACTAACAGATAAACAGATAAACAGAGTGACAGCTGCAGATAAGAGGTTTCTCCGAAGAATCGCGGGGAGAACAGAGACTGGATCAGCAATGAGTGGATCAGAGAGGAACTAAAAGTCGTCTTGATGAAGGAGGTCCGAGAAGAGTGTCAGCTGAATTGACTTGGCCATGTCGTCAGGATGTAATAGCTCCGAGATGGATTATGCCCCTAAAGGTTGAAGACCGCGAGGCCGACCAAGGAATCCTACATGGAATACGTCGAACGTCTGTGCAAAAAGAGAGGAAAAGATCTCCGTCAAGCCATCTCCGTATACCCAAATATTGATGAAAATAATTTCATTTTTCAAGTCCAACGAAACCATTAATATATTTAATGGTTTATTATTTTTATTAATGTATTTAATGGTTTTTGTGTACAATACCTGTTTTTTCGTATTTTTGGACCGAATCTGGACAACATGCCAGATATCGTACATGTAATTATGGTTTAGATACCCGACCAGTTTAGAAAAAAAAAACATGTTTTTCTTTATTTTTATTTTAATCAATTAAGGTAATAATAATAACTAGCCACATTCATAGACAATAATTATAGGCCCTTTAGGTGTCCATTCATAGAATACATGCCTAGTAAACTGAAATAATTTAAAAAAAAAAATAATAGTAATGATAAATAATTATATATTTCTATTAATTATTAAATTAAGATACTTATATGATTCATAATATAAGGTTGAGCTGAGTTTATTCCGAGTGGTGGGTGAGTTATTATAAGAACTATTATCTGATTGATCTTACCTCAATACTTGTAATTTTATTAATAAATTATTTTTAGTACATTTTTTTTACAAAATTAATATATAAATTAACTTATTCAAACAGTTCTATTAGGGATTTTATTTATATAAATCACAGGGCCGTCGCGTAGGCAGGGCAACGGGGTCAGTTGCCCTGGGGTGCCGCGGCCTAGGGGGCGCCTCGAATCAGAGACAAAAATATGAAGAATGCAAAATTCTTTTTAAAAAGTCTTATTTTTATTCTTTTTAATTCATTCCTTTTAATCCTTTCCTCACGTGACGATGTTATATGTATCGGGTTGGCATATAAGTCCTTAACGTTTTTTATGGTGAAATAAAACTCAATGTACTATAGTCATAACATTCATTTTGATCTACAATATGTTGACCATTATTTAATATGATTTTTTCCCAATCTAAACATAAACTCAACATAAAAGTAAACAAAAACTCCTTAGAGATTTATATTTTTTTATCTCATTTTGTAGTTTGTTTACGAAGGTCTTGTTGATGTTATTTGGTGTAGTTTATGTTTCAATAAATTCCCGCTAAATTTCTTCCAGATAGATAAAGTCTTATTGAAGTTATAACTTTTTTTGTTATTGTCGAAAAAAAATCATGTGAGAGACCCAAACATTAAGCCTGGAAACATAGCGGAGCTTGTGCAAATGGTTTTCTACGCTAGTTTTTTTTTTTCATTTATCGAAGTTAACATTTTAAGAGTTTTAATTGTCAAAAAATTCGAATTATCAAGAATCAACTGTATATGTAAAATAATACATTCACATGACAAATTAAGGTATATAGGTAAATAATTTATAATTACAAAATAGATATACGTCAGGTTAAGACAATTGAATTTGAATTAAAAAAATATATCTTTTATTCATTCATATCTGTATAAGATATTTATCTTTTCTCATAACTCCCAAACCAAGCTTTACTTTCCACACGTGAAAGGTAAAGTAGAACTCCTGGGAACTTTGTTCACTCTCAACTGTGCCCCGAGTATAGTAAATTTTAGGCCTTTAAAATCTGTATTTTAAGGGTCTGAAGTTTACAGGATTGGTGTCCGTGTCATATTTTTTTAATCCTGATTTGCTTAGTCTCGATTTTCGACTTACCACCGACGGAGTTTCAACGTACATTTTCATTGATTTTTACGATAGCTGTAGTGAAGATTCGATAATCAAATTCGACCTTTCTCTATAAATTCTCCTTTCTCTCGATACTTCGTTTGTCGACATATACTTTCAAAAGAAACATGCAACACAATTAATACAATATAGATATAATTGTAATGTTACACTAATCTAACAAGGTAAAGAAAAACAAAAGCTTGTAGAGTACTAGTTATTGACATTTTTGAACTTTTGACTTATTGCTTAACTGATTCAACAACCATTGTGATCCTTTTCCAAAACCCTCCCTTCCGACGGACAGACAGTCCAACATCCTAGAAGAGAGAAGACAAGGCTGATGGTAGGGTTGGGTTGCAGGTAGGAGGGGAGCCGGGCGGTGGGGAGTCATGCACGGGACAGGAGAGCGGGAGGCGTTGAGGAGGAAGGCGTCCACGCCGGTCAACTTCAGGTTCTTCGAGGACACCGACACCGAAGAGAAGATCACCATATCGTCGGCCTTGGACCGTGGCCACCTCACCAGGAACAAGTAAGTACCAAGGATCTCTACTTAGCGCTTAGTTCTGAAGCACCTCCCCAAAGGAGGGTCCAAAGCTAGTTCAGCTCACCATCCCTCTGGAGTAAGTGCTTGTATTAGCTTCAGGAAGCGGTGGTATATATAAAACAATGCAGTACATGGAATCGCTCGTGTGCTTAGTGTCGCTTAATTTTAAGATAAAAAAGGTACAAAATTTACCCTTTAGTGGCGTCTTAACACAATCAGAATGATTTCAATGAGTCTCATCTTTTCTCAAAAAGCTCTTAATTGATTGCTATATGATTCGCTTAACCCTGCATATATTTTTCGACATGTATAAACACAAACATAAAAAGAGTTATAATATAAAAGTGTGTATGTTAGTTTTCCATATGTAAATGTACGAATGTATCGTATTTATGTATGTAAATTTTCCACTCATGTGTACTTTCGTTTTCATCACGAATACATGCACAAAGATATACAAATCAATCTACATTCCGAAATGCTTAAATATTCAATATTTACTTGCATGCATCATTCAAAGACGCGTGGACTGCAATGATCATGATGCAGGACTGAAATTATTTCATGATTTCCAAAAATCTTTCCTTATAGGGGGCCGGCTGTTGACCCGTAAAAGTAACCAGTTTTTTTGTTTTTTTTTATAACACGGCAAATCTTAATCACTTCGCGAACCCGCAGAGAAACCGTCTAATTGATAAGTTTCGTAATGAATACACAGTGTTATGGAGGGGCTCGAATGTCGAGCTATCAGCAAAAATAAATGCTTACCTTCATTATATGGGATAATATTGCTCTCTATAATTACAGGTAAAATAATTACAGGATTGATAAATATTTTAGATAGATTCGTTATATTTTAAATGTTATATTTTTAAACAAGTATTCATGAAATAAGACTACACAAAATCTCCAACATTCGTTAAATTTTTCAAAACGTTTAGGAATTTCGTAAGATAAAATAATATATATATATATAAATATATATATATATTTATATATATATATATATATATATATATATATATATATATATATATATATATATATATATATATATATATATATTATTATTATTTTAATGGAAGCTTAGGTACTATCTGGATATTCAGTTTCATATTTTCGGTGAGATTGAGCATAGTTTATGCTCCTAGCGCCATCCAAAAAATTATCTCCAAGGTTAAGGAGCGTAAGTAAACTACGTTTTTCTAATGGGGGTCGTCTCTATTTACTCCGGAAAATAAAATATTGGATAGGGTTAGATTGAAGTTTATTTTATAATTTTCAATATTTGGTAATTTGTTTTCATATTTATTTTGTTACAACCATAATAAAAAATGCCTAGATTAATAACCAGAGGAATTTACAAATTTTAATTATCACCCTCTTATTGAATGAAAACGTATTTATTAAACTTTAAAAAAAATTATACAAAGTAAAATATATATATATATACAAGCAACAACACATAGACAATGGAAAATTCCGTATGTCGTGGTCTGTGTGTAATTAATAATAAATATTCATCACATTTATAACTAAAATAAATGAACAATAATATATCTACAGTATTATTATGTTTTATACATCCATTCTGGCAATTTCTTTCTTCACTGTTTCATTTTTTTAAATAGAGTTTTCATCGAATCATAAATCGAATAAATAAGAACTTTAATTTCAATAACGATAATAATAACCATAAAATACAATATAACAATAAAACAAACGTTTAAATAAATATTGTTATTGATTTTGTATCAATAGTTTACTGTCTGACCAATTGAGATCTTTGCAATGTGGCCTGCTGTATAATTGCTTAAGGCTTTCCAGTGAGAACCCTTTAAGAAACCAAATAATTCTTCTGGAGAACAGGTCCGCTGACCAAAACATTTCTCTCTTAACTCACTGAACATGTGGCAAGTCCCCAAAAAGTGAATGATATCCTCTTTTTCTTGGAAGTTACATACCGGACAGCAATCGTCCATGGTTTTACGCTTAAATCGAGCAATTCTGTCCTACATCGAAAAATTGACCCTATAGTCACAATATCAATACTATCATTAAGGTAGGGTGTAACAGTTCCCACTGAACATAGTCCTGCGTAAACAGAAAAACGTGAATGAAGACATTTTTTAAGGTTATTTTGTTTTTATAAGTCCTCTACCATGTGTCTAACAACAGTCAATTTTCCCCGCAGACCAGTGATATTTGCAGTATCAAGATTAGTTTTGCAACTATCCTCGAATTCTAACCACTTTTGGTACCAATAAACTCTCTTAGTTATCAACTCTTTCGCTAGGATATGTGGCAAAGGAAAACCCGGCATCTCCAGCACTTTCAAAATATAGTCGAAATGATTTTTAAGTGTGTATATCGAGGCGAGACCGGTTTCGTGTGTCAAAATATAATAAGGTGCATACCTTGGGAGACGCAGTAATTTTTTTACAAAGTATCTTTTAAACTTTTCCAAAACTTCATAGAGCTCGAAACCCCACACCTGCCGAGCATAACTAATCATCGCCCGAGAGACCGAATTATAAACCACTAGTTTACTTGGATAGAGGACATTTTTGTTAGCTGAAATTATGCAAAGTAGAATTTAGGGCAAATTTTGCATGACTTACTCTTTCAACAAAGTATCTTCCCATGACCAACCTTGGGGTAATGATAACACCCAGATATTTATACTCGTTTACTACTTCAACAGGGCTTCCTCCGAAATTCTACCTCTCATATTTGAGTAGTCTACCTCCATTGCAAAAAACTATTATTTTTCACTTGGCCAAATTTATATGCAAGTTCCACATCCGGCAGTAATTCTCCAAGTACTGTCGCTAAATACGCTTTAATTTAACTGGGGAAAGGGCTAATAGAACTAATAGGGGATTTCTAGACTCTCTTCCAAATTTTCGTGTAAATCGTTTATGGACAACGCAAATAGCAAAGGACTAAGCAGACAACCCTGTCTTAACCCTACTGATGTTTCGATATAGTCAGTTAATCCTTCTTTAAGATATACGGTAGCTTTAGTATTTGTACGTAAGCTTCTTATGATATTCAAAAATATATGAGACAGCCCAAGATTGCCAAATTAAAAACCAGAGCCTCCCTATCTATACAATCGTCCTGTTATTATGATACATTTAAGACAGCTTTTTGTTATTATTATTATTATTATTATTATTATTATTATTATTAATATTATTATAATATTATTATTCATCACTGATTAAAGTTTTTATTTATTTAAAATAATGTAATTCGTTTTCAGCTGTCCATTTTAATTTAGCTGAAGAATATGCCATCAGAAAGGTGATGATTTTTCCAAAACTTTGAGGAAACGTCCGAGTTCGGGCATGGTAATAATTTGGTACTGTTCAGTATAGCCAAGGAGATTATGAAACTAAATACGAAGCCGTTCATAAAAGCTGGTAAAGAACTGGAGCTCGAAATATTTTTCTACCTTCAGAATCATCGGTAGTATTTTGGTATCATAGACATGAAAGAGAACATATTATAAACCGGTAGATAAATTTAGTTATGGCGTGTCCACTATAACTAGAAAAATAAAAGAGGAAAGTAAGGGCTAGAAAAATTTGTTCCTGCTGTCCGGAAATTTAAAAACTAGAATTTTAAAACTAATATAATTTCTAGGTTTCGTAACGGATGCTAAACATTAAAGGATGAGCAATTTAATGTTTTTGAAAATAAAACTTTGCAAGAAATAACTGAGGAAGGATGGGGCAAATTGTGAATTTAAACGGCTACAGGATTTTCTGAACTGCGATGGCTTTGCGATGAATAGAATGGGCGTGTGAAATTTTCGGTGCTTTGTAGCAAACTAACCGCTACAATGTTAATAAACAATATGTTGACTGATAAGCATCCGAAAAGTAGACGATAGATAAACCATAGCGAGAAGGTTGATCTCGATGGATTTTGCTTAGGAGGCGCACCGTCTAATCCACAATAAATACCTCAATCAACTGGTTTTGTATTGCGATTAGTGACGTTGGTACCCAAACTTTAGTTTCGCAAAAACTTTTGTAATTACTAATTCAATTATTTTTCTGATGCCGCGGTTAAACAAGAATTCAAAAAGAAATTATATACTCCGTTCTCTGGTCTCAAGAAAAGTGACGCGGTTACATTAACAATATCTAATTGAATTTGACATTTGTATCTCTTAGTTAACAACAAGTAAAGAAGAAAAAACAAGTGATGAGAAAAATTGATGACCGGTTATATTTAAGGTGGATTATGTTGGAATGGCCATAATAGGGGATAATATTCGATGAGATATTTTTAAAATATCGTTATGTAAATAAAACCGGTTATTAAATTGTTTCTGGCGTTTTCTAGTAGATTAAAAATTTAGTTTTTTTTTTTTCTAATCAATTTGAATTAAATCGCATTTCTCGCTATATATTTTCTCATAAAAAAATTTTATTCAGGTATTTACTGAGTAAAATAATAAATAAATTACCTTTTTTCCGAACCAGTGCTGATTCACATGACCAACATAAGGGTTTACAAATCTTGAAGTTGTTGGTTTAAAGAGGGAAAAAAAATCTTTCTTTTCCTATTTTTCTTTTCTGTCTTCAGCTGTATCTAAACCGGAGAACCCTGGAAGATACCTCGCGGACTTACGGAACACTTCCTTATATTGTATCTTATATAAATAAAGCTTCTTCTTCGTTTCTGGCTGTTTTTTTTTTCTAATGTGAGGATTAAGCTTCAAATCAACCAATAGGATTACCTTCTCGATCGTCTCGGATATTGACAAATGTGAAGGGTAATGTGTGTATTGTAATGTTGGAGTGGAACTTCGGAAGTTATTGAGGATTTACTACGCGGGAACGTTGTCAATACTGACCAAATTACAAATTACGAGTTTAATAGTTAATTAAAAAAAAAAAAAAAATTAGTTGAACGAAACGATATTAGTTAGGTACTAATGCAGGAAAATTTCTAAATTTTAGCTTTTATTTTTTCTCCTAATGTCCAACCGTAGACAGACTCGCCCCAGTGTGAGCCGCCGAGAAATAAAAAGTAACAGACCCAGGTGGGAATCGAACCCACAACGCTCAGAACCGGGCACTGTGACCTACGCCCCTAACGTGCTCGTCCATCCAGTCCGTATTTATATATAAATAACTATGTATATATATATATATATATATATATATATATATATATATATATATATATATATATATATATAATATCTTAAGAAAATTCTTGCTTGAGCAGTCTTCCTTGTTATTGATGGTTCTTCTGTTGTCTTTTGAAAACTTTCTAGTTTTGGTTGTTTTGGATAACTGGAGTCGAAGGGATTTAATTCACATGGCGTTGCACATGGATATCGCAATGAGTCCGTTTTGATCCAACCTGGCAGGACGGTCATACTATTAGCTAACCAGGATCACTTTTTTTTTTAATGTAAAAAAGGCAATTACAAAATCTGTTGGCAGTTCATCATCGGTTTATTGCTAAAATTCAATAAGTACTTTACATTTTTTTTTATTTTGACACTAATTTTCGATGCCGAAACAGTGTAACTGTACTGTCACAAACCCTATTATTAAACAAAAATAGGTACATTAAGTACACAATGTTCTGGTTTCACTGAGAGAAAAGTCATCAAAGTACTTATTGGTTTATTATTATGAAAATTAACTTTTGTAATTGATTTTTTGTAATTGATCCACGATAGTTTAAAATAATAGATTGGAAAGCGATATTCCTTCAACACCATGAAGCATTGAATAATTTTTTTTTTTTTTTAGTAAAAATACATTTTGCTTTAATCAAGGGCATTGAGTATATGATACAACACAAATTAAAAAAAAAATGAATAAATAAGAAAAAAAAACATTCATGCTTATTTACAATATTTACAGCCAGCCGAAGGAGATCCAAGTCGGGCCCACGTCTCTCGCACATCTGGAAGATAAGGCAAGATTCTAAGAGATCCCAGCAGCGCTTCTCTCTCAGCCGCATCACTGAGATGGGGATTCAGAGGAGATTGAGAAAGGGCACTAAGCCACACAAGTTCATGACTTGAATGGAGAAGCTGGCCATTGCCAGGACTCCAATGACGTATTTACAAAAGATCTCGAGGCCACTACTTTTTTAACCTTCGAGGAGGATTGTAGGGATGGCTGGAGCTGGATAAGGATTGTGCTAAGGGATTAGGATGGTGTACTAGGTTTTGAGAATAAAAAATTAAATAATTAAAAATTTTACCTAAACAATATTTAATTTTATTTATTTTTCTTAAACATAGATAAACTTAAAACAAGCAGAAAAAGCTTGAATTCTAAGTTGATGTGTAGAAAATTTATCAAATAATTATAAAATGGATAATAACGGTGGAAGAAACACATTCAACAATTTCCACTTCAGTACACAGGAATCAAAGTGTAGTAAACGTAAGTGGTGATAAAATGGAGTATCAATCAAGTTAAAAGAGCCTTTTTATATTACTAACTACTTCATTTTTTTTTTTTAGCTAACTATGCCAGCTTTCAGAAAATATCTTCAAATTATCCTTAGCAAGGCCAAAAAGTAATAGTCACATTATTTCAAATCAATTATTACTATACGAATAACCATTTTAATACAGATTTATTATGGATAATTTAAAAAAAAAAAACTTTTAAAAGCCTCGGAGGGATTTAAAATTAATACTAACTCATAATATCATTGCAAGTTTTTATTCCATAATTACGGCTCGTTTTTTGTGATGTGATTATTTTAATTACCGGGATATAATAATATATGAACAGAAAACAATGGTGTCATTTTCGGATAAGCGACCCACTTTTGATCCTGACATTACGGGCAAGGTTAGTGGCGACTCCATCCGTGATATTGTGCGGCGGGAGGAATAATTAGGTTGAATCGTAGGCCAGGAAGTACTATTTTACATAATGACCACTATTTCTGATTCCAGGCACCACAATTCTGTAAAATGATTCATTCTCTGCAACTAGCCAATGGCGATATACCTTAAATAAGTATATAGACATTTGTTTTGTTTTTTAAATAGTAATTTGTAGCTGAATCATTTTGTTAACTATCGGCTAACAAATGATGATCAGGGCTGACAAAGAAATGAGATGAAAGACGGAGGATAGCAAAACATTAGCACCTTTTTCTTTGCTATGTTCACTCATCTTTATTAGTTAGGATAGATATCTCATCCAGCACTTTTGTTCAAAAGCATATTTAAACAATTTACATATATTTGTATATATATGTACAGAAACCTCTTAACGACTATAAATGCCTCAATAGTAGGCAAAAGACGAAGTGGAATACCAAAAAGTAGATGGATAGATCGAATCAACAAAGATGCAAAAGAGCTACTAGCTACATGTAGATAACTGAAAAGAACCATTCCAACATTAGGCTTGTGAAAGCTAAAAAAATCTGAAAGGTCTGTAACGCCAACATAAATAAATAAAGTACATAAATGAGGGGTTTTATTTTAATATTGTTTTTATTTTGTAATAAGCGAACGGCCTAAGGTGCATGAAATAGGTAATCAAAGTTAAACAACTCCTTACATGGTAAATACTTAAATGGGTGACCGCTAGAGTTGGATGACCATACACCAGAGAAAGCCCTCATATGAGCTTGAATTAGTGTAACAATAATCTCCCACAACGTGGATTTAAAAACTGTTTATAAATATGAGTTTATATGAGTATTAGTTTTAGTTTCGATAATTCTCTTAATTTTAGATTCAAAGGTTTTTCTAGTATTCTGCTTAAAAGGTTCTAAAATGTATGGAAACATAGGATACTAAAATAAACTATAATATGATTTTAGATAATATTATAACAACTAAACTTGTTATTTTTGTTCTATTTTTATAAACATATATTTATATATAGGTATGACTGTGTTTTTATGGTTTTTAATTAACTTATCTTTAGGTTATTTTGTTTTTTTATTGTACATAGTTTTTGATTATTATTTTAGTTTTGTTAATTTTATATTGTTTGTATATATGGTGTTCATATATCACTATAATCTATTGTCCACGTGACAAATTTTTATAATTCTAAATAAAAAAATAAATTAAAAAAATAAATAAATAATTATATATAATAAAAATATTTGAACATAAACTATGTCTTGTTTAAATGAGATATAAAAGTTAATTAGATGGAAAAAGAAAAGTAACCAAGCTCGCTCGGATGACCACCAAGAGGGAGCCTTCATCTTGGAAGGAAAGGGTGGATGGTAATGCCGAGTTCCAAAGATCATTCTCTGGTGCCCATTGACATTGGCACCTAATTTCAAGGCAATGGGTCTAGTAGTTTCGGAGCGAAGCCGCTGACGACGTACGCATATGAACGGATTTTCTTATTCGATTTTCGAATTCTATGTATCTTGAACCGAAAAACCTCAAACTTTGAAGGGGGTTTTTCTTGCAATTTTTTTTTTTTTATCTTGCAAGATTATTGGAAAAATAAACCAAAAAGGGACCCCTCCAATGTAATGATCTATATATTTTCACTTAAGTTATGTACCAGCGGTTCTAAATTTGTTTCTCGCCATATCATCTCTATCGTACCAAAAATATTTCGCTACACTCTTGCTGCGTTAAAAAAGTCTATAAACTTAACAGATTAGATGTGTGGGAAAATAAATGATAATTTTTACGTTTAAATGGATATTTTTTACTGCCTATAAATTCTACCAGCGTGGGGTTGCTCAGCGGTTGGGCAATGATATTCCAATGCTCAATATCCTGGATTCGAATCCCGGCTTATGGCAAAAAAAAAAATTATTCTGTTTCATTAGCAGTGGGACGACCCTGGGACGAGGAGGCCCTCCTGGAGCACACTCAGTCTCTTTAAAGTGGGTATCCTTAATTAAATTATTAATTAAAGGGTAATACCTGGTGGTTGAGCGTGATCTCAGTCAAATCACCTCCTTGCACAACCGTGGACTAAGAAACATTACTTTCCCTAAATAATACCGAACCCCAGAGACCCTTCATGGGCTGTAGTGGTACAGATTTTATAAATTTTACCACCACTTCTCTTTATATGAAAATACTTATTTCAAATACAATTAGGATAGTAAGTCAGTGTTGTGTAATGCGCACAATGCACTAGATATTTATCCTTACTACCAAGCGTTGGGAAGCTTCGTATTTATGCAAATGCAAAATAAAAAAAGAACTGATTGTGAGTGATGTATTTTGTAAAAATACAATTTCATGGAGAAGTGACGAATCGATCCTTAATTTCGTAATATAACACAACTTCAATAAAAGTCGTTGATAAAGTTAGGAAGTTTTATCAAACAAAGAGATTCTTCGGCGCTAAAAAGTATATATACATATATGTATATATTTTTTTTTTTTTATTTTGTCTTAAACTTGCTTATTTTCTTTTCTTTAAATCCTAGTAGTCAACATAGCTTTGTTTTATTTGTTCAGTAGCTGCGCACTATTGTTTATTTTCACTGATAAGAGAATACGAATGTTTCTATTAATAAACCCAGTTTCATGTGTAGCAATTTCTCCTTCTAAAAAATGTTTTGTTTTTTCTTCGTATCATAACCCGACTTATTAGTCGTCTATTCGGGTGGGTGTGTAGGCTTAGTCACCATGACGTTTCGCCGCCGTATACCTGCTCCGCCTCTGGAGCGGGAAGCCCTTCTACACCCAGCAACCCCGGAGGAGGGAGACTTCTTGGAACGTGTTTGTGTATGCGATGACGTGTAAATTGCACGACCAGTTCTCAAGGATATGGCTGTGTAATCGTTCCCGAGGCGCCAGTTTCGAATCGTTCTCGGTGAAACTCGCACCCAGCGCCAAACGTGCGGCATTCAAGTCTCGTCTTCCAAAAGTTCGCCTCCCAAACAACGACGGCCGACACTGTGATGTCCTTTGATTATCAGGATCAGCTCACTGTTCCGCACACCGTCGTCGTTGTAAAAAATAATCAAGAACAGGTTAAGACGCCTCTCTTCCCCTCTGGCTCCTTCGACTGGCTTCATGTGTAATTATTGCAAATAATATAATTTTTAGTTCAGTTTAAATATTTTGGTATTTCTATAAACTTAGTTCAAGAACTTTTGTTCATAATTTTTAATAATTATTATCTTATAAATACGGTTGAAATGACTTTATTAATTCTTTGCCCCGTAGAAACCATGGCCTTTTTTTTTTATAAATAATTTAGTAACTAACAAACAAATATAATAGTCAAAGTTATAGATAAACAAAAAACTCTCTGAACAAACTTAAAAATGTGACAGGATGTACTTTAGCCTTGGAATACAGATCAAGTATCTAAGAAACAAATTATGACAGCTTAAAGTTACGGAACATTGTCTCCCCAGAACAAATACAAAAATGGACATGGTGCAGTTTACCTCCGGGATACAAAATTATTATTTTAGTTTATTTTAAAATTTGACCCTTCGATTAAACCAAACATTTCGTGAGACTATTACTTTCATATGGAGTATGATGCATTATTTTAATATATTGATCACAATAATATTCTATTTTTATTCATTTAAGAATCGTTATTTTTAATTGGATAACAATCGTATTTTTAATTTTGTGTAGGTTCTTATAATCGGATTATCTTTTGACGTTTCAATAATATTTTTAATGATGCGTTCCAAAACAAATCTTCAGTTCATATTAAAAAAATGTTTGATGGAGCTAAGCTTTTATTAAGTTAATTTCATCAATGTATAAACAACAGTAATTGCATCAAAATTACACAAACCCTATTATATATCGAAAATAGGTATAATAAATGCACAATATTTAAAATTCACAAAGGGAAAATTCATCTAAGAACATTGTGAATTTTTTTTTAAAGCTACTTAACGAACTTTTCTAATAAAACCACGCTATATTTATAAAAATCAAAACTAACTTAAATTTTTGAGTCTTTACCTGTGTAACACGTTTTATTAATTTTATTATAATACTGAATTTCCTCATCACAATAGTTATGTATATACAAATATATTTTATCATTGTATTTTAAATTGAGTTTCGGTAAAATGGAACGCCGTTAGATAAGGTCATCTGTCAGGGACGCTTCGCCTCCGACTTCGAAGCGTCCAAGGAAAGTTCCAAATTCGTAACCTTTCAAACTGTGACAACACAGTTTTTTTTTTTTTTTATTGTTCCGTTAATCGAATTACGTCATCTTAAAATCAAAGATTAGTTTTATAAATTATATTTTGATAAATTAGTATTTAAATAAAAAAAACTGAATCTTATCTTCTTTTTTTTCACCTTGAGTCGTTAATACAGAATATCCATCTCTCTCTATAAATATCTTATTTGAATACATTAGTTATTTTAATAAATGTGATTTATATTCTGCTCTAACAAAACAGTTATATTTGATACAGGAATATTTAATTTTTATTTTATTACTTTTCTCTCAGATAAGTACAATTAAAAAGAGGTAATTTCTTTATATATTTATATTTAGTGGCTCATTTCATAAATTACGTTGTTTTTTTTTAAACAAATTGTTTTTGAATATTTTATGAAATTTTATCTTCGAATTTTATGAAACGCAAAACCTTGTCCAAGAGATTTTTTTTAATTTGTCATTCCGGATATGTAATTTTTAAAACTAGAAATACCAAAAACATATTAAAAAATAGAAATACTCAAACTTTTAGCCCATGCAGTGATAGTTTTGTGTCGGTAGAAATTAAAAACAAGATGAATTTTCGAAAATTATTAAAAATCACTGATGTTTTATTATATTGTCTTATTTCTCTATATCCATTCTTCAAACATTTTAAATTTTCGGGTTTAAATTGATATTTAATGTAGTTTTTATTAATCAACATTTTTATTTGCGATTAAAACAGATAATATATTAGACAGATAATTGGTACATAATATAAATAACATTTGTTTGTAGCACCTTTCTTTTCCTTTGAAAATATGTAAGTGTCTTATTTGGGAATACTAACACACATCAAAGCATTATCGCGTTTCAACGACTATCTAGTCATAATATGATCGATTGTTGTGGTCGCAGTATAGTTTACAAGAATGGGGAAGGAAGTTAGAGAGAGATAATAATGGTAGAGGAGATTATAGAGAAACTGAGCCATAACAAAGACATTTGCACTAAATGTTCTGTTACATATAGCATGGAATTGTGGGCGGGGTGTCCAAACGGGCTAACGTGTGTGTAAAACAACGCCGTTGCCCGGCAACCTAATACATAAGATAATGTGATGAAAACTAGTCATGAGTTCGCGACCCTGTACCGGGGGATTCTTTTAAATTCTAGTCCTCACCCCATGGCTCAGATAACCACGTATAGCGAGACTCCCTTATTGGCGAGGAAGGGAAGGACCAAAAAAAAAAAAAAAAAAATATATGTATATATATATATATAATGGAATTACTGAAAATCCATTTATTTATGATGAATGCTTCTCTTCTTCTTATTCTTCTTTTGCATCACCTTATAGTGCCTTTCAGCGTAGGGGAGCGTATAATCAGGATGGCCAATGTTCCCTATTTCTTGCAAGATTTCTGGCTTGGCTTATATTCTTATTTCTATTTTTGCACCAACGATCAATGCATTCGAGGTACGACATTCTCGGTATTCTACCATCGGGGAAATATTCCATAGACTTTAATGGATGTCGATGTTCCTCCATCCTGACGACATGTCCAACGACTTAAGCTGCTGAGTCTTCAGGACATTCTTCATCGGTGGAATCTCCAATTCCTTCCTGAATCTTTCATTACGAATGCAGTCATGTCTAGCTCCCTCTACGATCTTTCGGAGAAACCTCATTTTTTTATCCAGTTTATCTGTCAGCCACCAGCTTGCTGCACCATCCAGGATAGTCCGTGGTACAGACCCCTTTTCATCGAATTATTAATATCCGCCTGAATCTTCGTAAATAGTTTCTTCTCATCGTAAACTACATTCATTTTATTTATATTTTTTATTTTATTATATTTATATACGAAAACTCTTGGAATTGGGGCGGTTTCAGTCTGGAGAGAGGTAAACTTTGTCTATTTAACTAGGTACTAAAAACTCGTAAATACCCATTTGCTTTCTATTTGCATCGTAAGATAAATTAATCACAAAATCGGTATAAAAGGTGGCCTACAAAAATATTGGGCCGTTTGTCCAATATAACCTCGTTATTTTAAAAATTTGGAGGTGTAGGTCACGCTAAACGGCTGAATATATCTGAAGGCTACCTTTTTTCTCGATTTTGTGATCAAATAATCTTACGATCCAAGTAGGAAGAAATAGGGTATTTACGAGCTTTTAGTACCTAATGAAATAGATAAAGTTTGCCCCCCTTAAGATTGAAAACGCTCCAATTCCAAGAGTTTTCATAAATAAAATAGTTGTAGGTTACGATGAGATGAAACTATTTACGAAGTTTCAGGCGGATGTTAATAATTCGATATAAAGGGGTCTGTACCACGGACTAGGAGTATAGGCGGGTATACTGTAGTTTAAATATATACTGTACCTTAAATATATGTAGTTTCACACCTCTGCTCACTTGTCTCTTTCCGATCACAGTATTTCAGAACTGGTAGTATGAAGCGTTTGCTTTGCTTATCCTGTTCAGAATTTCTGAGTCCACTTTCCCAGACCGATTCATAACAGTACCAAGGTAGGTGAAATCTAACATTTCTTCCATCACCTCTCTTGTAATACACTGTAACATCTTCCTGTACCCTTCCATCCTGTAGGATCTTACTATTTCTTGTATAATGAATGCGGTAAGTCAAAAAATATTTTTTTAAAAAAACTTTAAAAATTAAAATAAATATATTAAGCACAAAAACACTTATTTACACCACTTACAATCGCCCAGGAAAACTACGAAAAAGCCCTGTCCCACAGATCTATGGAGAGAAATTCGATACTCCTAGGCCGGGGTATCAAAACATTTTGGCCCGCGGGCCAGATCGAGACCTCCACTATGTCCCGCTGGCAATGGATTATGATGAAGAAAGTTCCATAAATGGCACTTTAGTTATGATAAGAGCCTTCTCGATCCGTCGTTTGGAGACTCCTGCTCTAAGCGATACCAATGCTTCTCTCGCAAAGACATCACTCGTATTAAAAGGCAATTGAGTTGAAGCAAAAGTTTTCTCAAGTCCATTGTTGCCAGATATTACAAGCCCAAGACATGAAGGGTCCATAAATGATGGATAATGAAAACATAGTCGATACTAAAGTCAGGGACAAAAATCTTCATCGAATCCAAGCATACAAATTATTAACTATTTAATATGGTGCATTCTTTAGACTTCACGATAGAAGTGAAATAATCAACAAGGCGAGATTACTGATATGAAATATAAATTATAAATAATAGCCAATTATGGAGAGAATAAAATGCTGAACAATTCCCTCACTAACAGTATGTAGGTCCGATATTTTAATCCATATCTTCAATAATACTCGTTATAATTTGGCTTTTAACACTACTTTTTTCCTTTTCGCATCTCTAACATAGCGTTGAGATACAATTTCGAATAGCGGATGAAATGATGAACATTTTCCTGGCTAACAATATGCACGTTAATTATTTAATTTTTGATATATTTTAATTCATATGCAAAAACACTTCAATTATCCGACCCAAACGTAACACATTGGAAATCTGACGGCTCAGTGTGATTCACTCTCCCCCAAAAAAGTACAAAACGCGCCTAAAACAGTTTTTACTTGAAAAAGAAAAAGCTTCAAAATATATAATTAAATACCACGAATAATCTGTAGGTATTGTACGTAATATAATTCGATAATAAAAAAAAGTTTATACATGTAAAGTTAGTAATA